CGTCGCGAAAGGTACACTCGAAGAAAACACTTCATACACGTAAACTTTCGCAGGTCCGCGCGAATTTCTTGGACCGGCGCTGCACCTCCTGAGGGCGCCTCTGGCGCCACTGGGAGGGGGTCCAGCGCCGATCCAAGAAATCCGCGCGGACCACAGAGGATATCATGTTTAGGTTTTGGGTCGTGCCTCAGGACCGTCAACATTGGATTTATCACCGCCCACCAAACCACCCCAACCCAACCCGAAAGCCCCAATCTGCCCTTCATTCCCAGTGTGGGGGGGTCGCTGGGAACATTGAAAGACACATATGGGCCCGTCCCCCCAAACCTGAAATTGGGTTCCTCGGGTTAGGTTGGGGTGGTCTGGGAGGTAGTCGGCGTAGGACGGGTGAAAGGGTCTCAGGACGGGTGATTCACGTTTTGATCAAGTCACGACGTCGAGGGTCACGTTTCAAATCACGTCGTCGAGGATCGGGACCTTTGGTTGTTCACGTTTTGAGCAGGTCGCGACATCGAACGTCGGGGGCGAGGATCGAGGGACGACGGTCGAGGGTCGGTGGTCGGGGGTCGAGGGTCGAGGGTCGAGTGTCGGGAGTCGAGGGTCGAGGGTCGAGGGTCGGGGGTCGAGGGTCGAGGGTCGAGGGGCGAGGGTCGAGCGGCGAGCTAGGGTCGTGGGTCGAGGGTCGAGGGTCGAGGGTCGAGGGTCGAGGGTCGAGGGTCGGGGGTCGAGGGTCGGGGGTCGAGGGGCGAGGGTCGAGCGGCGAGGGTCGAGGGTCCAGGATCGAGGGTCGAGCGTCGAGGGTCGAGCGTCGAGGGTCGAGGGTCGAGGGTCGGGGGTCGAGGGTCGGGGGTCGAGGGGCGAGGGTCGAGCGGCGAGGGTCGTGGGTCGGTGGTCGAGGGGTCGGGCGTCGGGCCCGACAGCTCGATCCATCCTCCTCTTCGTCGTTCGCCTTCGTCGATCCAGCCTTCTCTTCGTCGTTCGATCCTTCCTTCTCTTCGTCGTCCTTCTCTTCGTCGTCTTCGTCCTTCGTCCTTCTCTTCGTCCTTCTCTTCGTCGTTCGCCCCGACCTCCCTCACATCGGGGAAGCGCAAGACTCGGTGTAGGCCAGAGCTCGGGCCTGCCGACGTTTCTTGACGAAGCCGAGTCCCCGGAACCCGAGTCTCACGTCAGGGTTGGACCTCAACGCCGTTTTGCTGGACTTCGGCTTTTTTTTCCCCCCCCCCCCCCCCCCCACCCCCCCCCCCCCCCCCCATTTTTGACAGAGAGGTACGGGAAAACAGGTAAAGCATAACGAAACACCGAACGAAATCGAAACGAAAAATAACGTTTAGGTCCAGCCCTGTCTTACGCAGGAGCCGAACCCTATATACACCGACGCTGTTTCCGGCCCCGCACTGAAACTCGCACAAGAAAACGGATCCTGGTGTATACGGGATGTTGGTGTATAGATTTTTCGCTGCTTCCCGGGGGAAGCGGTGGAACAAATACACACCAGACCACCCCGACGTCGGCCCCGGGCCCTCAAAAAGTCCTGGGATGAAAAAACAGCCCGCCACTGGTAATGTATCTTCTCCGGTTGCCGACCCACGTCTCCCCGATCACAACTGGGGCCAGGAGGCTGCCCACACTCCGCAGTGGCCCTCTCTTGAGCTCGGCGTGGGCTCGGGCAGATCCTGCTCCCTCCGGGGCTCCTCCCCGGGGCACCGTCCGGCCCTCTCGACATTCTGCGCTGAGGCCCGCCCGTGGCGCCTGGGCCCAGCCTTATAAGGCTGGGCCCAGGCGGAGATCCTATAGGGGGATCCCCTATAAGGGGATGCCCCTATAGGACCCCCGATAAGGCTGGGCCCAGGCGGAGATCCTCTAGGGGGATCCTTATAAGGCTGGGCCCAGCCTTATAAGGCTGGGCCCGCCCGGGGGATCCCCTATAGGGGATCCCCCGGGGCGAGCCCTGAAGGCCCACCGGCGGCGAGCGAGGGGGGGAAATTCGGGAGCCTTGAGACGGGGGTCAATGCAAACGGGGGTCCGCCAGAGCGCCCGATCTCGCAGGATCCTGCAGGGCCAGGGTCGCACTGACCCGGGCTTGGGTGCAGGATCCTGCAGGATCTTGCAGGACCCTTCGCATTGGCCCGGCCTTAGGTGCAGGATCTCGCAGGATCTTGCAGGATTCTCGTCCTCCTGGCTGACCCTGGTCTGGGTTGACCCGGGTTAGCAGATCCCTGAGAAAGGGGAAGGGGCCGCAGTGAGAAGGGGAAGGGAAGAGGAGAAGGGGAAGAGGAGGAGGAGAAGGGGAAGAGGAGGAGAAGGAGGAGGAGGAGGGGCCGCAGTGAGAAAATCACGACGTCGGATCTCTGGGAATGAGAAGGCCTTCTCATGAAGGCGGCGGGGCTTCTCTTGAGGCCTCGCGCCCTCTGAGGAGTCGTTTTTCTGCGTCTTCGGGGGAGCCCTAGCATTAAGTCGGGCCTGTCCCTCTACCGGGGGAATATTCCCAAATAGTCAAACATAGTCTGGGGACTAATTTTGAGCATTTTTTTTTGTTTTTACCATTTTGGGGTATTGTTTCAACATTGTTCATTTTTCGTCGAAAATGCCCCTGTAGGGGGACAGGCCCGACTTAACCCTAGGAAGCTTCTCAGAAGGCCAGGGGACTTCCGAGCCATCTGAGAAGGCCCGCCCCTTCTCACTTCCGCCCCAGGCTCGCCGCCGAGCCCAGAAGGGGGGGGGTGGGGGAAGAGGAGGTGGTCTCCGGAGGAGGCCCCCCTTACCCAGGGCAGCCAGCGTGCCGAGAGCATCCCAGCGGCGGCAGCCCGTTGCTCTCGACGGGAGGCCAAGAGAGAGTCCCACACGCAAGAGTCCCACATATCGTGGACGTTCTGGCAGCCGGTTCGCCCGAGGCTTCCTCTCGCGACGCCTGCAGGGATCGGGAGCGAAAGGAGGACGCAGATGTACATTCGGGGGTGGACAGAACCCCCAACAGTGACACGTCGATTAGTGAATGTCCGTTTTCGGTTCTCGAGAGGGCGCCGTGGCCGTTATTTTCCAGGCTTGCGCTCGCCAGGTTTGGGCCTCAGGTCGTTTTCACTAAACCATGTTTTACTAAAGGGGGGTCTGTCCATCCCCGATACATGAATCCACGCTGGTTTCGAGAGCTCGCATTGTGCGAATGTTCGCATCGCGCGGCAGGTCTCGCGGGTCAAGGGGCCGTGCTCATGTGCATCGCTGGGCGCGTACGTCCTCTGTGGGCTCCCTACAGGGATCGCGCTCTCGCCGCAATGTGGGCTACTACACGTTTGGTGCGGACGACCACGACCACAGGCAACAGTACGCTGTGGTGCACATGGCCGTGCCCTCGCCCCTGTCACCAGCCGACCTCTCCCACTCCTCGACGCCCTCGTCGTTCGGGCGTTCGCTGGGTTGTCTGTTCTTTGCTGATATTTCCGACTCCGAGGCCTCCTCTTATTCCTCCGAGTCCGACTCCGACGCCTGCTCGCATGTTTGCTCCGACGCCTGCTCGTATCTCTTCGACCTTCCGACTCCGACGCCTGCTCGTTCTCCGATCCTGCTATCTGATATCCGTTTTCAGCATCTGAGCGGGCTTCAACTTCTCGGCTATCATCAGATATCAGCACGGTCTGGATTAGTTCAGGCATACAACTGCCGTCTGACCATTTGACATGTTCACAACATCCAAGAGGTATTCCGTGACATATTCACTCTGCCGTTGCAGAGCGCTCGTCGGCAAACAAAAAGAAGAAAAAAATCAACTTCTCGGCGCTCTGGCGCCACCGCCGGGCTCTCGTGGGGCCGCCCCCTCTGGGGCGACACACCGGCGCCGCGCCTCGCCTCGCCTCGCAGGGGCCCCGGCTGGCCCCCGGGGACTGTCAAACAGCGAATTTCGGCAAAGGATCTTCGGGGGCGGAAAAGAGGGGGGTGATGACTAGGGGGGGGTGGATATCATGGCGCGGGCCATGATATTTCCCCAGATTTCATGGCGCCTCTTCTTATTTCATTACGTCCCAGGCCCCCCCGCTGGGCCGCGCACATGCCGCCGGTCATGATTTGCACCCCCCCCTCTTGGACACCCCCCTCTTTGCCGCCCCCGAGATCTGGACCACCGAGGAGCCTGCACTGAACAACGACTCCGACGGTAGAACCCCACGTGCTGACCTTCTCGGCCAGCCTGCAAGTCTAGCCATCATCGTCGTGTCCGTGACTGCGGAGGCCCTGTTCCTGCCCCCTCTGCGCTGTGCTCTCCCGCCCCCTGCGTTGCCTCCTCGCCCTCCCGCCTTCCCCCACCTCCTCCGCCACCTCCCCCATTCCTATTCGTAAGCCGGGCCTGTCCCTCTACAGGGGGGAATATTCCAAAATAGTTATAACAAATCATCTGGAGACGATTGTTTTACTATTGGTGCCCATTCGGGTGGTATTTGTTTTGCGTGTTTTTCAACTTTTCGCCCAAAATGCCCCTGTAGGGGGGTACGCCAGACATAATGCTATTGCAAGGGCGCGCGCATCGCTTCTCCCTGGCGCCGTCGACGCTCCGCGTCGGTCGGCGGAGGCGCGCTCTCGCCGACGGCCGGCTCCTCGGGAAGCCCAGGGGCGACGACGACTGCCAGGTCGCAGATGGCCCGCTCGGATTGGTGGCGTGATCTGCGGACCCCCATCCCAGACATGATCGCGTCGTAAAAAAATCAGGACGCGAGGTTTTTGTACATTTTCAGCCTCGGGGGGGCCCTCGCCGGGCCTCGGGAGCGTCAAAACACGATTCAGGATGAAAAACCAAACCGGCCCTGGGGAAAGGGTCGGGACTTTTGGGGGCGCCGGCCTGAAAAAATCCGGACGTCGCATGTCTGGGATAGGGAGGTGGGCTCCCGCTCGAGACTTCCGTACAATTTCAACTAAGGGACGAGGCTCCCGCTCAAGATTTTTGTGTCCGGAATCGTCCGTGGCCGTTTTGGCTCCAGGCGGCTTTTGCCAAGATCCCAGCCCGAGGTCTGCTGCCAATGAGCGGAGAGAACTACTACGCTCGCCAGCGGGTGGCCAGCCGCCAGGTGGACCAGCGGGCCGCTCTGTTCGGCAGCAGGGGCAACGCGCCACCCAGAGGCAGCAAGGCCGACCACAGTGCAGACAGGGAAGCGCTAGAGCGGCAGAACGATGCCGAGATCGGCGCCCTGGCCGGCAAGGTGGAGCGGCTGGGCGACATCGCCAGGGGCATCGGCAAGCAAGTGAAAGACTCGAACTCCCTGCTGGGGGGCATGGCCGGGGAATTGGACAAGGCGGGGACCCTGTTGAAGGGCACCATGAACCAGCTCAAGGTGATGATGCAGCAGAGGAGCGGGAAGCACCTGTGCTACATGGTGGCGTTTGTGCTCGTGCTCTTCTTCCTGATGTACCTCTTGAGAGGCATGGGGAAACGGCTCGGCGGCGGCGGCGCGCCCGCGCCCCTACTGTATATTGTGCAGAACGACACGGCTGGTTGAGCACTGCGTCCAGCGCGGGAAGGCCGCCGCCTCCGCGTCCGCCGCCCTGGGCTGCCATGGCATGGGCGCGATCGGCGCTGTCGCACGGCCAGTTCTCCGAGCAGAAAAATACGCTTGTATCCGGAATCACGCCCCAGGAGCCAAATCGGGTCCCCGGAGACCAGGACACAGATCAACCGGGACACGGGAAACCAAAGAAACTGCACTCTTTCCTGCAAAGTCGCATTTTTTCAGCTCCCGTGCATGGTCTGTTAGCGGCGCTGCAGGATTCGGGTTCGTGTCCAGGTTTAAGGGGGGTCTTGCAGGCTGTTAGGGCTTGTGTCTGGGCTCATTCTGCAGGTGCTGCAGTGCAGTATTCTGGTCGTGCCGCCATCTGGAAGCATTGGTTTCGAGGGATGTTGGGTGTCCGGGCCAAACAGTGACGACAGTTACAAGTTTTGGATGGCACGCTCGGAGTACGGCGGCTCCCTGGGGAGGCGGCGTCCGCCCGAGACTTCCTCCCACTCCACTCACAGACGGGGCTCTGGCTCGAGGCTTCCTCCAGGCCCACACCTCGGCAGCTTGGAAGCGACGCCAGAGTTGAAGGGGTCCAGCCGGCCCGCGCGGATGGATGTCTGCTGACCCCACAGGGGATGGCTTCCCTGCTCGACTCGAGACTGCCTCACCGCCCACTCGGAGACGAGGCTCCCGCTCGAGACGCCCTCCAGGTCCACGCGGGAGCGCCCAGGGAGGCGAGCACCCCAACCCGTGATGGGGTGCGGGCAAGACGCCGCATGCCTGTGGGCAGATCGCGGGAGGCCCCCAGGAAGTCCCCGGAGGTCTCCGGAGGCGCAGGAAGGGCCAAGCACATCAGAACGCTTGGCCTCCTCCTCCTCCTCCTTTTCCCCCTCCTCCTCCTCCTCCTCCTCCTCCTCCTCCTCCTCCTCCTCCTCCTCCCCCTCCTCCTCCTCCTCCTCCTCCTCCTCCTCCTCCTCCTCTCCTCCTCCTCCTCCTCCTCCTCCTCCTCCTCCTCCTCCTCCTCCTCCTCCGCCTCCTCCTCCTCCCCCTCCTTCCCTTTTGTCCTCCTCCTCCCCCCCCCCCCTGGTGCGTCCGCTGTGTTCGAGGGCGGGCCGAGGGCAGAGCAGGGCGTGGGGCGGGCGCGGCTGCCCGAGGGAGCCTCTGCCCCCACCCGAGGCGCGGGATCGAGGAGTTCTGGCAGGGCGCCCGGCCCAGCTGATGCCGCCTCCCCCCGCCGCTCGGCGCACACGTCGACCTCGGGGGGGAGGAGGGGGAGGAGGGGGAGGAGGAGGAGGAGGAGGAGGAGGAGGAGGAGGGAGGAGGAGGAGGAGGAGGAGGAGGAGGAGGAGGAGGGGGAGGAGGAGGAGGAGGAGGAGGAGGAGGAGGAGGAGGAGGAGGAGGAGGAGGAGGAGATCATCAGCCCTTGTTACGTGCGTGGTTGTCTGGCAGAGTTCGATCGAAGGATGGCTTGAATCAGGACTTGTGGAGTCGCATTAGGGTCGCCCTAAGAGGTCGCTCCTCAGACGATGCGTGGACCAAGTGGGTTCCGTCTCACACAGAGGCGGCAGAGAATGATATTGACCCGTTTCTAATTCAGGGCAATGCCAGTAGCTGATGAGGGGGCGGGCCGTGCGGCGGGAGAGGGGTTGGCGTCGCGTCGCGTCGATTGGGCGGAGATTGATCGGTGGGACGCCATTGGGGTGCTGGTCAGAGCTAGGGCTCGCAGAGCACTCGAGTGGGCGATCGAAGCGGGCCCCTGGAGCGGCGAGAGGCTGCCCAAGGAGAGGGCCCCCGCCCCCGCCGCCCTCTCTAGTGCTGCTGCTGCCTCCGGTCGTCAGTGCGTGCAATGCGGCAGTACAGTTAGATGCATTTCCAGCAAAGTGCTGGCCCCTTTTCGTCTAGAATTGTCGGGGTGGCGGCGTCCCCATGCCACAGCCTCCTCCCGTCTGGTGACGTTGGTCCTGGGGGCAAAAGCGTGGTGGCTGCTGGTAAGTGGCTCCTCCAGCCCCACAAGCCACAGATCTGGGATAAGTTTTGTTTCGCGTGTTGTGCGAATTGTGGCAGATATGCTACCCTGATCGGCCGACATTTTGAGGCTCCGTGCGAGCCCATCACCCGAAATGGTCGGGAGAACCTCGCACGTATCGACAAGGGCTTGTATCCGAGGCGAGAGGGTGTGCCAGCTCAGCTCAAGGCTGTGTTGGCGCAGCGAGGTCTCGGCTGGCCCTCCTTTTTCCCTGCGCGCGACCATCGCTTAGTCAAATAGTTCAAATAGTTCCTCTTCCTCCTCCTCCTGAGCCCGTTTCTTTATTGCTTGGGGCATGACGGGCGTCATGGCCCCCGGGCCCCCCCCTCACCTATGACGTAACGCTCCCTCCTCCAGTGCGCTCCCGGCACTGCCCCCCAGTGCGCTCCGAGCACTACCGCTGTGCGCATTGGGATCCGCGTAGGTGTCCGCGTAGGAATCCGCAAAGGAGTCTGACCCGCAGTCGTCGTCGTCGTCGTCGTCGTCGTCGTCGTCGTCGTCGTCGTCGTCGTCGTCGTCGTCGTCGTCGTCGTCGTCGTCGTCGTCGTCGTCGTCGCTCGTGGCTTGTCGCTCGTTGCTCATAGTCGTCGTGCGCGCGGACGCGGCTGAAGCCTTTTTTCTGCTGTTTTTTTTCCGGGCCGATGACGGCAATCATATAGGGGGAATCCAGCGGAATCCAGCGCCAGGTCTGGCCCGATAGCCCTTCATCGTTCCCACGAGGACCTCCCAGGAGCCGCCTCGCAGCATGCACGACGCCTCAGGATGGCACGCTGGCCCAGGCCACCAGGTCGCGACCGCACGCTCTCAGCACCAGTGCCGGGGGGGAGGTGAGGGGAGGGGCAGACGCGAGGCCGAACATTTGTGGCGCGATTGGGGCGGCACACCGACGAGTCGAAGCGACGAAAAGAGGGGTAAGGTCATCAGTCGCGGACATGACAGCATGACGATGTCGGGGAGGATGGCCTTGATGGACAGGGGGAGGATCACTGACCACTGACCAAGCTGCCCGGACAGCGAGCGGGCCGCCTTTGGACAGTCCCTGAGCCAACTAGGGACTGTCAAGGGGGTGCACCCGCTACCTGGGGAAACCCCAACTCGCTGCTTGTTGCTGTCGGTCGCTAACGAGGGCGAAACCTGGCTAGCAACCCACGATGCAACGCACTGGATGTTACAAGATTCTAGAAGTTGTGGCAGCGAGACGCTGAAAAAAGGCGACGCGATGCGATGCAACGCAGCAGCAGGCAACGCAAAGTGCTGAAGGAGGCTCCAAGAGGCTCCCAACACTTGCTGCACCTAGGCAGCGCCAAGTGCAGCAAGTGCCTCTGCGTGTGAAGAAAGCGCCAAGAGGCCCCCGCATCTTGCTGCACTCAGGCAGCGCTAAGTGCAGCAAGCGCGTCTGCGTGCCGAGTGAGACCTGGGAGCGCGATGCAGCCAATTGGATGGAACAACGCAATATTGGCACTGCTGGGACACCACGGATACTGCCGCATGTGGAGGAGAGGGGGGGGGGGGGGGGAGGGAGGAGGCAGGAAGAGGAGGAGAGGGGGGAGGAGGAGGGAGAGGGGGGGGGGGGAGAGGGGGGGGGGAGCGAGGGAGAAGGAGGGGGTGGCATGGAGGACGGGGAGGAGCGGGCCACGCCTCCGAGGCGGCACCCGCGACCCGGAGCTGGGCAGCGGCGAGAAGTTTGCGCGGGCCCAGCCGCGGGCCCGGCACTCGCCCCCGCTGCAGCTCGGGCGACGACGGTATTCGCAGGCGCTTTCTCGCCCATCGATCCCCGACGGCGTTCGCATTCGTCTACGACGACATCATCATCATCACCAGCATCACCAGCATCACCAGCATCACCAGCATCACCCTCATCCTCATCCTCATCCTCATCCTCATCCCCACCACCACCACCATCATCATCATCGTCATCATCATCATCATGATCATCATGATCATCATGATGATCATCGAGTTCCGCCCGACCGTTCAGGGTTTTCAAAAAAGGGGGGCACTCGGGGGTGAGCCCCCAGAGGGGGGCTGTGTGGACGCACCCTACATCGAGGAGGGGCGCCTCCCCATCGCAGAGCCAGCAGGAGGATCGAGGACAGTCCACGAGGCTCGAGGATCGGGATGTTCGACATTCGACATGCGTTATCGTTTTTTGACTGAGAAGCGCCACCGGCGCACCGGTCGCCACGGCTGGGGGTCCAGCTGGTCGGACCGCGCGTTGCGGGACAGGTCTGAGAGGGCGAACGCGAGGGAAGCGCCACGATGAGGAGGAGCAGGGCCATCAGGAGGAGGTGAGGGGGAGGTTGAGGAGGAGGAGGAGGAGGACGAGGAGGACGAGGAGGAGAACGAGGAGGAGGAGGAGGAGGAGGAGGAGGAGAGCAGGAGCAGGAGGATCAGGCAATCGCAAACATGGATCCCCGTGCCCATGGGAAATCGCGGACTTCCGCCGCCGAACGAGGTGACACCGGCCGCATTTTGGGAAGGGTACCTCCCCCGATCAATGGATTTGGCGACCGCGCGCCAAATCCATTGATCGCTAATCCATGTTTGTGCGCCCCCGGGAGGAGCAAGAGGACAGGATGGGGTTACCCAGATTCGTCTTTCGTTCCTCCCAGCTGCACAGGCGTCGGACCCCTTCACCCCTGGGCTACAGCAATGGAGCGAGCGAGCGAGCGAGCGAGCGAGCGAGGAGGGCGATCGGCAGCCGCGGCGGGAGTGACAGCGACCCCTGGCGTGGAGGGCGGTGGCGGTGCCGCGCGGCGAGCAGGGCCACGGCCGAGGTCGGGGGACCCCTGGCCGGCGGTGCTCCTGCGGCAGAAGTCGTTCGAGGACATGCACAAGCTGTGGTACGTCCTGCTCAAGGACCTGCGGGGCCGCAGCGGGCCCCTCGTGCGACCCTCGCCCTCCTCGGCGCCCTCCTGCGCTTCCGGTGCGGCCCGCACCGCCCTGGGGTCGCCGTGGCCTTGGCTGCCCTGCTGGTGGGGGCTGCTGGGGCTGCTGGGGGCCCCCGCGGCGCGGGGCCCTCGACTTCGGTCGTTTTTGTCGGCGAGGGTGGCCCCGGCCTGTTGCCTCGGGTCGCCCCGTGTCTCAGGAGCCAGCGTTCTCGTGGAGATTGTAATGGCCTCCGGCGAGCGCCGCCGATCCGGGGGGCTCCGGGTTCGGTGATCTTCGCGGCTCTGTGGCCTCCTCCCTCCTCGATTCTGCTGGGGCCGCTGGGGGCTCCCGCGGGGCGGGGCCCTCAATTTCTGTTGTTTTTGTTAGGCGAGGGTGGCCCAGGCCTGTCGCCTCTGGTCGCCCTGTGTCTCAGGAGCCATCGTTCTCATGGAGATTTGGCTGGCCTGGGCCTTTTCTGAACTGCTCTGAATGGTCCATGCCCTCTCCCCCACGCCGTGCGCTCAAAGACTCTGCTGGGTGCGCGCTGGACGCCGCGCGGTCCGTGATCATGCAGGGTTCGTGGCAGCACCACTTGCACATGCATGACGTTGCTCGGCGGTCACCGTTTGGTGTTGTAGCATGTCGTGTAAGGACATGTTGGCCAGCATGGACCCCACTCAGCGCATTATGCCACCGGGAATGTGTCATAATTAGGTGGTGCAGCATCGCTGGTGTAAATTAAATTCCAGACTGAGTGATGCAAGCCATGTGGCGACAGCTACGTGGGTCATCCCATGCGGCGCAATCTACGTGATGCAAACTACACGTGGTGCAGCCTGTGCTATGCCACGCGCCTAGTGCAAGCTGCGCTCTGCAAGCTGACTCTGTAGTTCCAGCTGCGCGGCGCTAATTGTGTGATGCAAACTGTGCGTTGCAAGCTGTGTGGTGCGAGCCATGCGGTACACCTAGCGCAAGGGGCGCCCGCAGGGGGCCCACGACTGTTCACCAGCCGGGCACCGGGCGGATCTGCAGCGGACCCATCCAGTGCGGAGAGCGCCCACGAGGCGCCCCCGACTGGCCTCGAAACCTTCAATTCCTTCTCTCTTCGTCCTTCTCCCCTCCTCTCGGCCGTCACGCGTCGAGCGGGAGGGACACGTTGACTTCGACAGCGCGGATCATGGCGATGTGGGAGACGTGGATTCGGCAGCCAGCCTTTATCCATGGAGGAAAGACCAGCGCGACCCTCATAATTGGCGCTCATTCAATGGACCTGGTCGTTTACTGAACAGCACCGTCCTGTTCGATTTCTTCTTCCGGTGCGTTTACTAAACGACTACGCTTCTCAGGGTGTTTATTTTGGTTCTTGATTCCTATGTTCAATGGGGCTCTCGTGACATGTGGGCATCCAGGGGTGAGAGACGAGACATCTTGCAGCACTGCCTCGCGGAGCTCCCCTCGGCTAGCGCAGGCAAGATTGCTTACCCAGGGCCATCTTCGGCAGCCTCGGACAAGGAGGAGAAGGATCGACGACGACGACGACGAGCGCTTATAGAGGTCCTCGACGCCACGGCTAGGCGCAGCTCGACGTTGGCCAGAACGGACCCGTAGAGGGCTCCTCCTCTGCCTCCTGATCCACCCTCCCCCATTGTCAGCTCTGGCCCACGGGTGGCCGAAGCGCGCCCGGAGGGCGCGGTGATGTTGATGTTTGTCGCCACCGCGATTGTGCCCCTCTGTCGCCCAGGTCAGGGGCCGTGGCCTGGAGGCATTTTGTGGTCCAATGGACACAAAGCGTCAACTCCTTGTCGGTTCGTGCCCGCTGCGCGCTGCGGCGGCGGCAGCGAGCGGGGACAGATGTTGAATGGATTTTGGTTTGACTTCGTCGGCGTATGTGCACGGTTTCCCCCGGGGCCGTAGGCGACCCGAGGAGGAGGAGGAGGAGGAGGAGGAGGAGGAGGAGGAGGAGGGAGGAGGAGGAGGAGGAGGAGGAGGAGCGGGAGGAGGAGGAGGTGGAGGAGGCGGACGGAGGAGGAGATGGAGGAGGAGGAGGAGGAGGAGGAGGGAGGAGGAGGAGGAGGATGGAGGAGGAGGGGTAGGAGGAGGAGGATGAGGAGGAGGAGGACGGGTCGCCTAAGCCCTTCGGAGAAAACCTTCCAGGCGCAGGCTGGCACTTCGAAGGGCCAGGTCGAGTGCGCTCGAGGGGCGACCTCCGGAGGAGAAGTAGGGGGCCTCCTCATCCTCCTCCTCCTCCGACTCCTCCTCCTCCTCATCCTCCTCCTCTTCCCTCGTCCTCCTCCATCTCCTCTATCTCATCCTCCCCCTCCCCTCCCCCACCTCCTCCTCCTCCTCCTCCTCCTCCTCCTCCTCCTCCTCCTCCTCCTCCTCCTCCTCGGGTCGCCTACGGCCCCGGGGGAAACCGTGCACCCACGCCGACGAAGTTAAAGGGGGCTTTTTCGGAAGGGGGCGGCCCATGTTTGGAGGCCCCGTCGGGAGGCGTTCCGAAAGCAGGAGGAGGTCTACGAAGCAGGGCGCCTTCTGAGAAAGGAATCGTCTTTTTATTCTTCGTTTTGCCGATCGGCGCGGGCCCTCGCGCACCCCCCTCCCCCCCATGGAGTGGATCTTGGCTGTGTTTTTGTTCCGCCCTTTTCGAGCAGGTGGGGTCTCCCCCAGAGGCAGGGCTCTTGCAAACAGTCGCCCTAAGCAGAGGTCTGGAGCAAGACCCCCCCCCCTTCCCGCCCAATGTCAAAACGACGAATACAAAAGAAACACCCACCTGAGAAAACCGCCCCCCTCGCCTCAACTCCTGGTGTCGGGAAGATCGAACTGGGAACGGAAACAGTGGTGGCGAAGACCGATGGCAGTTCCTCTTCAGGTTGAACTGGATCCGCTGTCGGTGTCGCCACGGAGATGGTTCACTCGAGACAACAAGCCGCCTGCCCGACAGCGGCCGTTGTCGATCTGGGCCAGCGTCTGCTGTTTGGCATCGTACCTCTTTTTCCTTGATCGCGTTTTCAGGGAACAAAAATAGACATAAACATAAAAACTCGGTTGTCCGCGCGGATTTCTCGGATCGGCGCTGGGCCCCCCCGGCGGCGCCTCCGGCGCCGCCCCTGGCGCGCTCCGCGCGCCAGGGAGGGGGTCCAGCGCCGATCCGAGAAATCTGCGCGGATCTCCGAGCTTTTATGTTTATGCCATTTTTTGTTCCCCTAGTTTTGCTAGAGTGCTCGGGAGACAAACAAAGAAAGTACGACTCACAGTGCGCAGGGGGGGCAGAGGAGCCCATGACCGCCTCCCGAGATCGCTCAGTCTGGCAGCCGTCTCGGGGGAGTCTTCAAAACTCTTCACGCCTCGCGTGTCCCCACCAGCCCGTTCAGAAACCCTCCTCCTCCTCCTCCTCCTCCTCTTCCTCCTCCTCCTCCTCGTCCTCCTCCTGTCGACGGGGACAGGGACGAAGAGACACAGATAGTAGAACAGAGCGGGCAACCAGGGTGAACAGGTAGACATCTGGGAGCAGGGGGGGGGGGGGGGCCTTGGAGAGCCTATTCGGGCCATCCCCGGCGCCCGCGCGGGGCGACAGAAGGGGGAGGGGGAGGAGGAGGAGGAGGAGAATGAAGAGGAGAAGGAGAAGGAGGAGGAAGTCGACGACGACGACGACGACGACGACGACGACGACGACGACGACGACGACGACGACGACGACGACGACGGCGAGGGAGAGGAGGAAAAGAAATATGGCAGCTGGTTCGCCCGGGTCTTCACGGTGCATTGAGAAACCGCACTCTTGCCTCATTGCCGGCCGCGCTTTTGGCCCAGGCCGTTTTGGGGCCTCTTGGGGGCCTCTTTTGGGCCTCTTGGGGGTATCTTGGGGCCTCTTCGGCGCCGCTTGGGGTCTCTTAGGGCGGAAGGCTCGGATTTTCGGCTCGTGCTCCCTCTCTTTAGCCTCTTTGTGGGCCCTCTTGGGCCGTCTACCCCTTTGCACAGAGCAGTGCACAGGTGTACTAGGGCGACGACATCTATACATATCCACTGCTCCCTGGTGAGGCCCATCCTGAACCCAGCAGCTGTGTATACGCTGCGCCCTCCTGGCGTGGCCAGGAGGGCGTATGCACAACTCCTGGGTTCAGGATGGGCCTGGCCAGGGAGCAGTGGATATGTATAGATTTCGTCGCCCGATGTACGTGGCCGTGCTCTCACCCGTCCCCTGCAGCCGACCTCCCGCTCCTCAGCCCGCCTCTTCACCTCTGCTGGGTGAGCTGGCTCTCCCAGCGGGCTCCCCTCACGGTGGGGAGGGGTGCTCCGAAACCCGAAGGAAACGGTACCCAACCCCAGCCCTGCCTCCTCCTCCTCCTCCCTCCCTCCTCCTCCTCCTCCCTCCTCCTCCTCCCCTCTCCTCCTCCTCCTCCTCCTCCTCCTCCTCCTCCTCCTCCTCCTCCTCCTCCTCCTCCTCCCCCTCCTCCTCCTCCTCCTCCTCCTCCTCCTCCTCCTCCTCCTTGCCCAGCGGGGCGGGATATTGCCCAGCGGGGCCGCGATTCTATCGAGGCCGCGATGTCAGCGAGTTTGCATCTTAGCCGCGAGGTCATCGAGGCACTTGCGCGACAGGCGCGGGAATCTGCTAGATCAGTTGACTTGGTCCGCACGTTTCGTTTCGGCTTGTGCGCGTCTCCGCCAGTTTTCGCAGACGGCCCCGAGTGAGACGAATGGCAAGTTTTTCATCGTTCGAAAAAATATGCTGCCCAGCGGGGCCAAGGTTTCCCCAATGGGGGTGGGGATTGTCTCCCTCGCCCAGAGTTCGGGTGCTTTGTTGGGGCACAGTCAACCCGAACAGTAAGGATGAGCGAGAGTTTCCCAGGGCTACCCTTGCATCCTTGCTCTGTTAGGCCCATCCCTGGCAACTTTCGCTCGCCGGCTCCACTCGAGAAACGTTAACATGGCTTTCCAGGGCCCTTGCATCCTTCGGCGGCGAGCGAGGGGGGGAAGTGAGAATGGGCGGGCCCTTCTCAGCAGGTTCGGAAGTCCCCCGGCCTTCTGAGAAGTTTTCTTAGCCTCCCCCGAAAGCAGAAAACGCTTCTCAGAAGGCGCGAGGGCTTCTGAGAAGTCCCGGCCTTCTCCTTCTCACTTTCCGACTGGGGCCTTCGGAGGAGCTCCCCACTGGGACACGAGCGGTGTGATGGGTGTGCCGACCTGGTCGCGGTGACACATGCGATCCCTGCCACTTGGTCCATCGGCGGAGCTCCCTACGGGGCCGCGAAACGTGTGTGAGAGATCACGTGAGGAGCAGGAGGAGGAGGAGGAGGAGGAGGAGGAGGAGGAGAAGTGAGGAGGAGGAGAAGGCCTCCCTCGCCCCAGCCTTCGGCTCGCGCGCATCTCGGCGCGCACCGGCCCTGCGCGCCCAGCGCGCTTTCCGCCCCTCCCGGCGCGCTCGCCGTGGCCCGCCGCGCCCTGCCGCGCGGCCGACCGCGGGGAGCGGCACAGAACGAGAAACGCCTGCCGCGTAAACCAGAATCGGCGGCGAGCGAGAGGGGGAGATGAGAAGGAGAAGGCTTTCTCAGAAGGTCAGAGCCCCGAATCATCAGGGGTAACTCGGGTCAGGGCTAACTCGGGCTCGTTTTTCGGAAATCCGAACCCGAGTTGCCCCGGGCCCGAGTTACCCCGGATAATTCGGGCGTCCAGAGCCTCAAATCATCAGGGATAATTCGTGTCAGGGCTAACTCGGGTTCGTTTTTCGGGAATCCAAACCCGAGTTACCCTGTGCCCGAGTTACCCCGGATAACTCGGGCGCCCAAGAAGGCGTCGGGACTTCTTAGGAACTCTAGGCCTCCTAGATGGCGTCGGAGCAGATGGGGTCGGAGGATCGCGCCGCATCGCCGATGCATCGGCGATGCATCCGCGATGCGGCTCGAGGTGGGGCCCACTTTTCTCCACGCCGACGTCGCCCATGCATCGCGGACGTCGCCAGTGCATCGCCGATGCATCGCCGATGCGGTGTGATCCTACGACCCCATCTACTCCGACCCCATCCAGGAGGCCTCGAGGAACCCTCCGGCCTTCTGAGAAATTATTTCTGTCTTCGGGGAAGGCGTCGAAAACTTCTTGGAAGGACGGGGGACTTCCGAGCCTTCTGAGAAGGCCTTCTCCTGCTCACTTCCCCTCCTCGCTCTCCGCCGAATGAAGGCTCGGAGTGCCGTGTAGATTTCTCAGATCGGCGCTTGATCCCCTCCTTGGCGCGCGGAGCGCGCCAGGGTCGGCGCCGGGGGCACCGCCAGGGACGCCCAGCGCCGATCCAGGAAATCTCCCGCTGCGGGCAGGTGGGAGGAGAGGGCCTGGCGGACAGCGCTCAGCTTGCGGTAGACACCAGCAGCGGCAGCAATCATCCGAGGCGCGCCATATGGCCTGTGTGGCCAAGAGCTTTTGCTGAGCGCGTCGTGGCGGCGGCCCCTGCGACAAGCTACGCATTGCAAGCTGATAGCGCGTTGCTCTGCTTCGGTGGACGGGAGGCTGGGAAAAGCTTGGAACGGTGATGCTTGAGGCCTGCGACGTGTTTATAGCGTGTCGCGCCACAGCGTGAAACCAGACCTGGCGGCCCGACGGATTCAGCAGGCGCCCCTTAAACGCGGGGAGAAGGGAAGAGAAGCAGGACGGGGGAAGAGCGATAGGAACGCAAGGCCGCGAAGAAACGGTGTCTCGAGGATGAACAAGAAAGGGCGCGGCTTGCCAACGTCACGTCGTCGTAGGCGTCGTCGTGGTCATCGTCGTCGTCGGGGGCGGAAGTTCGTAGAGCAGGGCGCGACGCGCCGAGCGGGCGGGAGAGGGGGCGATGCTTCCGATTCGCGAGAGGGCCTTGGCAATGAGGCCTCCTCTCCATCAATGTGTAGGAGGGGGAGGAGGGGGAGGAGGAGGAGGAGGAGGACGAGGGGGAGGAGGGGGAGGAGGAGGAGGAGGAGGAGGAGGAGGAGGAGGAGGAGGAGGAGGAGGAGGAGGAGGAGGAGGGAGAGAAGGGGGCAAGAGGAGGGGGGGAGGGGCAAGACGAGGCTGGGGGACGAGGAGGCGGAGGGGGAGGACGCTTCGGGCGCCAGAGTGGCGCCCCCGCAGCCTGCGCCGGAAAGAGGGAGCATAGGGGAGCCGAGGATCTCCACGGGGGACGCGCGACCTGGGCGCGCCGCCCAGCGCGCCCCTGCGAGGAGGGGAGCAAAAAGCACGGGCGCTGGCACCTGGGGCGCGCCGCTGGGGCGCCTGGCCCTGCGATGTGCGCCGACCCTGGCGAGGCCCACGGGGGGTCGGGCGCTTTGAGACGGGGGCCAATGCAAACGGGGGTCAGCCAGAGCGCCCGATCTTGCAGGATCTTGCAGGGCCAGGGTCGCACTGACCCGGGCTTGGGCGCAGGATCCTGCAGGGTCTTGAAGGCTCCGTGTCGCTGACTTGGGCTTGGGTGCAGGAGCTTGCAGGGTCTTGCAGGATTCTGCAAGGCCTTACTGACCGGGGTCTGGATTGACCCGGGTCAGAAGGACGCCGAGGGGGGGGCATACGGCGACCATCCCCGCTCTCCGCCTCCTCCCCGGCGGCCGCCCGGCAGGAGAAGAATTTCCTCATGGCCGAGCAGCACGAGGCGAGGCAGCAGAGGGCGCGGTGGAAGCACCACGGCCGGCTGAAGAAGGCTGCAGGGGGAAAAAGATGATTTGCCAGAGTTTGTGTGTGTGTGATCCCCCTCTTCCCCGTCCTGCGCCTGCGCCCGCACCTCCCTCCGTCCTCCCTCCTCGCTTCTACATGTTAACTCAGACCGCACTGTGGGGCCTGTGCCCGTTGCGCAGGTCAGCACCCCAAGGGGCTCGCGGATTCAGCTGTTATTTTGAAACGCACATTGCCCCGCGCCCAAGTCGTGAGGGAGCTGCAGGGGGAGAGCCAGTCAGCATAGTGATGCTGGCTCCAGGGACGTCGAACTCCTCGTCAATCTGAGCGCTGGTCCCTTCTCCCTCTTCGCTTGGGATCCAGAGCACACGCTGGTCACGCACATGAGGTTGGGGCCGTGCCCCTTCGAAGCGCTGAAAGGGCGGGCCATCGGACGCCAAGAGCCTCAGGAACCGAAAAGAAAAGGAAAGAGTACGGCGAAGGGCCATGCCATCACAGGCAGCAGAGCTTCAGGGCCCAAGCAGTGGGAGGTGCAGTGCGCTGCCATCAGGTGCAGCCTCAGGCTCATTCGCTTGCCAGCGGGCTAGCTAATGGCTACCTTTCGATTTACAGAAAGCCCATACACTACATGGGCTTTCCGTGAACCGTAACATTGACATGGAGAGCTTCAAGATTAAATCTTAGAGTTCAATGTTTCAATAAATCTGTCGTACATGAGCTTCGGCTTCGCTGTGCGAATTAAACAATCAAGTTTTAATTTAGACAGCGAAGGCGCCTGGCGTTGTGTCTGCCATCAGCGTTATGACCTAATCAGCAATACCCGCAGCACTATCATCCTCCTCCTTCTCCTCATCCTCCTCATCCTTCTCTTCCTCCTCCTCCTCCTCCTCCTCCTCCTCCTCCTTCTCCTCCTCCTCCTCCTCCTCCTCCTCTTTCTCCCTCCTCAGCCTCTTCCCTCCTCCCCCTCCTCCAACCCCCCGGACCCTCCCCACTTCCCCATCCAGGGATCGCAGGGGTAGAGGTGGCACGAGGGTCAAGCCCATGTGTTCGTCGTGTCTGAGGCCCCACATCGCAACGTTTCTTCATCGTTCTGGGCACATCCGTGGGCCCTTGGGACCTCGGTGAAGGGACGCAGGTTCTTCACGCACGCTCTTGCGGCCACGTTTCGAGTGAAAGGGGTAGGCTGGGGAGTAAGAAGGAGGCGGAGGGAGGTGGGATTCTCTGGTGGAATCGGATCGCAGCATAGCGTGTGCGAGGGGCAGTGAGAGGAGGGAGGCACGAGGGGGGACGAAGGACGTGAGGGGGGAGCGGTGTAGTGCTCCAGGTGCGTATAGTCAGAAAACTGAAATAACAATGCCGAGCAAGTCGGCCAGCCGAAGGAGTCGCGAATCAACGACAAACGTATAGAAACTGAGCGACCACATTGATATGCGATACGGGGGGGGTGACCTTTCCTGTTTCTTGCAGCGTTTCGTGTTTTTGTAGTGGCGTCTGTGCCCAGTCTTTCGAGTAGGCTCGCGCCTCGTGTGGACGAACCGCTTATACACGAAAAGCGGAGCATTTACATGCACAGCAGCTTACGGTTCGAAGCCTTGTGTTTGTTGGTCTTTGAGCGTGTGTCTTCTATGCGCATGTCTGTTGTTTTTTTTGTTCCCGCCTAGCCTCAGTGGGTCCTCCTCGTCGGGTAGTGCTCCTTTGGTGGGTTCAACCCTCCTTTGGACGCTTGCCCATCTCCTGGTCCTCGTAAATCAGTTTCCCATCCAGTTGTTCTCCCTCGTCTGTTATTCTCTCTTCTCATCCTTGCCTTCTCTCCCAGTCTCCTCAATTCCACTCGGAGGCCTCAACAAGTCAACCAACACCTAGATCATCGATCCTCGATCCTCCTCCTCCTCCTCCTCCTCCTCGGTTCTCCTCCCCCGATCCTTCTACGCTCCTCTGTCCTTCTCTTCCCCTCCCTCTCTCTCTCAGCTCCCTCCCCCCGCTCCCTCCTGCTGGCTTCCCCTGGATGCTGCCGAGCGTACAGAGCTGCTGCCACCTCCTGCGACCCCAGGGGGTCGAGCAGGTCGCTCCCCCACGCCGACTCCGGCTGCCCAGCGCGCGCGCGGGCGTCCCTTCGTGGGCCCCGGACACGGCAGGACCGTTTATTTGACCGTTCCCGACAAGTGTCTTTCAAATGAAAGCGGCAAGGAAACGGCGACCGGAAGCAGCACACAAGAACGGCTCCAGGATTGGAGCCGGAGCCGGAAACGGCAACAAGAACGGCGACGGACAGGTCAGGTCAGGTCAGGCTTGCATGCCCGCGAAGGGCGGCCACTGAGGGCGCCGGCGGGGAGCAGTTGCAATCACAGCTTGCGTGCCAGCTTCGGTGGGAGCGGCCTGCGGGCCTCAAGCATCAGGATGCACAGCCGGCCATGCGCAAGCAAGAAAACGGCGACGGAACTTGTGAAAAGACGGCCTTGGCACATCCTGGCCGAGCTCGGCCACATGCGGGGGATGCCAGACAGCGCCGGCGTTTCGGGCTCGCACGTCGGCCGGACATGGGGCCCAGAGGGGCCAGCGGTCCTCGTGCTCCTCGCGGTCGCCCCCGTCGCGATCTCGACGTCGAGCATTGTCCTCTCGACCCGTGGTATGTCCACCGATGCCTCCCACCTACTTGGGTCCAGGCGAGGCTCCCTCTCGCTTGTGTCACATGTTTCCGCACATGGCTTCTGGTCCAGATTTAGCATACACGTGGTGGGGGGGCGGGGGAGAAGGTAGAGGGGTAGGGAAGATGAGGAGGGAGGAGGGAGGAAGCTTGACTGATGTAACTGATGCGTTTTTGGATGCAGATTTTGAGCGTGGCGCTTCGAGGAGCGGTTGATCAGATTGAGAAAAGTCGCTCGCCCGCGTGTTCGCAACGTGTGTCGAAGGAAGAGTAGGGGGCGGAGGAGGAGGAGCAGGAGGAGGAGGAGGTGGAGGTGGAGGATGAGGGGGAGGAGGCGTATGAGGAACAGGTGGAGGATGATGAGGAGGGATGCCGTCGTTTTGGCCGGTTGTGGGGCCTGTGCAGGTGAAGCTGTCCATGAAGCGCATCCTGACGGTGCTCACCAGGCAGCAGACCACACCACAATTCGTGTGCCGACCCTCTTAAGCCTATGTGGCACCGGCGCCGGATCAGAGGAGGAGGAGGAGGAGGAGGAGGAGGAGGAGGAGCAGGACGAGAGGATGGGTCAGGACATGGGGAGGACAGGATCAGGTGGAGTGTGTATTTTTGTGGGACGCGAGGAAGAGGGTAAGTGGCCGTTAAGGGTTCGCGCTTACATGTGGACAGTTTTGTGGAATATGCATACTCTCATCCCGCATACTCTCATACGCCTCGGGCCGTCTGCGAACCCTTTTGTGTGGAGCATGAACATTCTCATCGTCTGTGGGCTGAGTTTTTCCCTGTAGCCTTTTGCAGCCTTCACTTGTTTGATGTGGCCATCGGACTTGCTCGCAAACAGGGTTGACGCGGAGGCCGTTCGTTGGGCGATTGCCGCGTCGGTGCGGTCCCCTTGGCCTGGGCGATCCTCTCTGCATCAGCGGCCGGTCGTCTTGTGGAAGCCCATCTGCATGGAATCTGGAACAAGTTGCTGGGGCCAGCCCGTCCACTTTTTTTTGCCCTGGCCAGTTTACCCCGAGCTTTTCCGGCCCCGACGACCTCATCTGGGCTCGTTTAAACCCATGTCGTTTTCTCCAGTCCTGGCCCATTCCATTTTCATTCGAAGAAGAGCTACAAGTATTCTGCTCGGGGCCTGGCTACAGCGGCATGCAGTCGTCATGTTTCGAAGATGCGAGGCACGATACCCGGGCAAAAATGGCACACGTTAAGCCTGGCGGTCGTGGCATGAAGGGTGTGCGAGGCGAGTCTGGATCTCTTATCTTCAAATCTAACAGCCCCAGCTTATCTGGTGGGGGAACACAGCAATCTTCGGACATCCAGCAAATTATGCTTGTGCAGTTTCTCCTCTTCTTCCTTATCTAACGAAAGTATGAAAGTTCCAACCACCACTCCTGCCAGCTCCCCTGTAGTCTCTAGGCGTGAGATCCACCAGCAGGGCATCCGTGCGCAGGAGATCCTGGCGAAGCAGGAGCCGCGCTCGCAGTGAAGGACGGGCTAGGGGAGGAGGAGGGGGAAGAGGAGGAAGAGGAGGAAGGAAGAGGAGACGGAAGAGGGAGATGATCTGGATGAGGTTTGTATTATATTATAATTTCTGGCGTGTGTACCTGCTGCCGGGCGTTGCACGCATCAATTTCATCACACACACAGAGACCTCAGGAACTGTGCCATCTGTACACTCTTGAGATCTCTTGAGGCCTCGACGCAGTGCCTACCACACGTCTCGCGAAAGCGAACGCCCCTTCTACACGGCAAGGTGGTGGCTTTCATGGCAGAGCTCAGCTCGTGAGGGCCAGGAGGAGGAGGAGGAGGAGGAGGAGGAGGAGGAGGAGGAGGAGGAGGAGGAGGAGGAAGAGGGGAGGAGGAGGAGGATGAGAGGAGGAGAGGGGGGAATGATACATGTATCATTCCCCCCTCCTCCTCCTCCTCCTCCTCGTGGGGGGGGGAAGAGGAGGAGGGGGAGGGGGAGGCCGAGGAAGGGGAGCAGGAGGTAGGGGGAGGGCGAGGAAGAGGGGTACGCATGCAGATGCTAGTCAGCACGGCTTTCTGGTTTCCGTGTCGACGTATGCTCTTACTTGGGGCGTCGTGGTTGTCACGCCTTCAGGTCCGGGGTCGCCCCGTGGCCCGCTGGCACGCGTGCTCTCTCCGATGCCAATGCGCTTCGAGGCGTTTGGCAACATCACAAATACGACGTCCAATTTTCAGGAGGGGAAAAACACACAGACACAATGACTCGTCGATTCCCACGAACATATGGGAAACGATGGGAAATGGGCGGGAAGACAACAATCCAGAAAGTATGGAACATATGTGGAGTCCTGTTAGTTGTGTCTATTTATTTGTGTGTCCCAGGGCCCCTTCAAATTTCTGGTGTGCCGCTTCCAAGCACATTGTGCTGTACTCGGACGGGAGCTTGATTTCAGAGAAGGAAAATCGACCCATGCCGCCACCCTTCCCTCGTTTCCCCGTTGCGGGGGGGCCTCCCGGGAGGCCCTCGTCGCCTCGATCCGCCTCGAGATCCCGGTCAGAGCGCACCCCGGGAGAGGTCTGGGGAGCAGCTGTACCTGTACTTTTTGGCTTCCCCTGTTAGACGCAGGAGGAGGAGGAGCAGGAGGAGGAGGAGGAGGAGGAGGAGGAGGAGGAGGAGGAGGAGGAGGAGGAGGGAGGTGGAGGGAGTAGGAGGAGGGGAGGAGGAGGAGGAGGAGGAGGAGGAGGAGGAGAGGAGGAGAGGAGGAGGAGGAGGAGGAGGAGGAGGAGGAGGAGGAGGAGGAGGAGGAGGAGGAGGAGGAGGAGGAGGAGGAGGAGAGGAGGAGGAGGAGGAGGAAGGAGGAGGAGGGAGGAGGAGGGAGCTGGGCGTGCGGAAGCGGCAGGCAGAGAGGGTTCCCAGGCTCCGTCCCTCGCCCCCTGAGCTCGCTCAGCGCGTCGGGGGTGCCCCTGTAGGAAAGTTCCTCGGGAAGCCCCTCGGACTTCTACGCGGGGAGGGAAGGACGTCACCACGTCACCACCCACCAAGCCACCCGAACCCAACCCGAACTCTTCAACTTGCCATCCATTTCCTATTTCGGGGGCGGCAAAGAAGGAGGTGATGACTAGGGGGGTGGATATCATGGCGTGGGCCATGATATTTCCCTAGATTTCATGGCGCCTCCCCTTATTTCATCACGTCCCTGGCCCCCCCTTGGACAGTGGGGGCGGGGGTCGGGGAGCACTGAAAATGCACACGTGGAACCCGCACCCCCCCAACCCGCAATTCGTGTATTCGGGTTGGGCTGGTGTGGTCGGCAGTCACGAACAGAGGGAGGTCTCCGGGGGGAGGGCCTCCAGGGGCTCTCGGAGGTCCATGGAGGCCCCCAGAGATGGACGAGGGCCAGTCGAGACAGCGTCCCCCCCCCCCCCCGGCGTGTTTCTGCCTGTCGGGCCCCGCCGCCGCCGGCCCGCTGACGCAGCAGCCGCCGCGGGCTCGCTGGCGGGGCTGGCCGCGCCGCTCGCTCGGGGAGCGATCCGTCCCCCTCTGAGCCGCTCGCTCCGTCCGCTCCCCTTTCGGCCGCGCCCTCCTCCTGCTCCCCCTCATGCATGGTGGCACAAACGGCATCCCCGTTCAGGCACGATCCATGGCCAGCACAGACGTCCCCTGCCTAGCCACCGACGCAAACAGCGCTGCTGCCTGTCAGGGGCTCCTGGAGGCTGCTCGGCGCCACGGCTGGAGCCGAGTCGATCGACGGGTCATCGGAGGGGCCCCAAGAGGGCCGGATCTCTTGAGGGGACTGGAGCCGGGGCGGGGGGGGCGCCGCCGTCGTCTCCACGGGGCCCTCCTCTGGTAGAGGTCTCCGCTGGGGGAGGGGGAGGAGGAGGAGGAGGAGGAGGAGGAGGAGGAGCGAGGAGGAGGAGCGAGGAGGAGGAGGAGGAGGAGGAGGAGGAGGAGGAGGAAAAGGGGGAGGAGGAGCAGCCTTCCGTCCAAGGTCCTCTCTTCGCAAGTCTGCGCGAGTTCGTGCCAGCACTGGGCGCCGGCAGTAAACCGTCAACCAAAGTTACCACCAGGGGGACACGTAGAGCTTCTGCCTGAGCACAGAAACCTCTACAATACAGCGCTGATTCGGAACATCGAGACTGTAGGCTATCGCGTCCGAGGCTGCCGAATCAGTAACTGCAAGCGAGAGCCTCGCAGCTGCTCTGAATCTCGGAAGTTAGCAGAAATACCGCGCGACGCAGCAGAACGGTAGCAGAGCGAGATTAGTTGTTCGAGCATTGCTCTGGTAGCAAACCGAGCTGAAGTATTTAGGAGTAACAGATAAAAGTTATTGAATTTGCCTGCGTGCTGAAACAAGCAGGGCCTTGCATTCCTTCAAAATTTGAAGATTCAGGCTAAAAGCGTTTCGACACAACGAAAGTCGTTGCAGAGTGGAATTTGTTTTCGCCCATAGCTTCAGTATGCAAACGAGCTCAGCTCTCTGGAAGTCGGAGCGAGCAGCTATCGGGCGTCACAACAGGCTCGTAATAACAGAGATCTGAACTCGCATTGGATCTCGAGATTTTCGGAATCGAAAAATTCACAAATATTGTTGTATGAAGCTAGTTTTTTTCGAATACAACTCGAGTTGCAAACCAAGTTCAGCTCTCTAGAAACTGTTTATAGATGCCTTCGAGGCTGCTGAAACGTTTCATGTAACCGAGAGGTCTGTAGCTGCTCGAATTCTCGAGATCATCTCAACCAACAAAACGCGCGCACCAAAATATGGTCTCAGGGCGAGTTGCCGCCCTATCTGTTTTCCCCCTTCAAAATATTCCGATCGACCTGGGATCAAGATGGCGAACAGGAATAAGATCGAAGTGTACCCGAAAAATAACCTGCCCGAAATGAATGGTTACAAATCTTCCCGACTATTCGTCAATTCGGCAAATGTTGCTAATTTGTGCGTCGATTTTCTTTGGCCAACTAGCCCATAAGTGATCCCGCATTGCTCTTAAGCTTCGCCGCTCCGCTCCCTGGGAAGCTCTACGAATCATTTCTCGTGTCTCTGCTGGGAGCGCCACCTCGGGAGACGAGCGCTCCATGATCCCGTCCCTATACGTATAACGGGGGACCGGGTCCGGGGGCCGGGGGCGCCTCGACCGCAAATGTGGGACCCAGGCGTCATTTTCCTTGTGTTTTTTATAGGGTTTCGGCGACCCGGGGCCAACAGGGCCCCAAGAGGCTGCATGGAGACCCCAGGAGGCCGCAGCGATGGCTCCAGACGCCTTTCAAGACGACTCCCATGACGCCAAGAAGGCCCCCGAAGGCTCCGAAGACGCCCCAAGAGGGACCCCGAGAGAGTCCCAATAAGCAAACATAGTCGATTTCCAATGGGATCACTGATACTTTTGGCGTGTTCGCCTTTTGGGCTTCCACTGCGTCCAAGACGGCCCAAGAGGCCCCCAAGACTGCCCCACAGGTTCCCAAGAGGGCTCCAAGACGACCCCAAGAGGGTCCCAAGACGGCCCGAGAAGCTCCCAAGACAGCCCAAGAGAGCCCCAGGACGAGCCCCAAAGGAGTCCCAGAGGTGCACAAACATATTGAAATTCGGAGCTTTCGGCCCCAGAGGCTCCCAGGAGGCCCCGAGAGGTCCCCAGGAGGCCCCAAGAGGCCCCCCAGAGGCCCCAAGAGGCCCCCAAAGAGACACCCCAATAGAGCCCCAAATAAGCAAACATCGTCGATTTCTTTTTGGAAAACTGATGTTTTTGGCGTGTTCGCCTTTTTGGCTTCCACTGCGTCCAAGACGGCCAAGAGGCACCCAAGACGGTCGAGGATGCCTCCAAGAGGGCTCCAAGACGGCCCACGAGGGGGCCAAGACGGTCCACGAGACGCCTGAACCGCCCAAAAACGCCCCCCAGGAGCCCAAGAGGCCTTTCCGGAGAGCCTCCACAGCGCCCCAGGAGGGCCCAAGACGCCTCCCAGGAGCCCCCAGAATGCGAAAGGATGGTCCAAGATGCTTCCAAGCAGCCCAAGAGAGCCTTCCGACGGCTCTCGAGGCTCCCAGGTGGCCTCCAAGAGACCCCAGGAGGTCCGAGAGGCGTCCCGGGACGGCCCGAAGAGGCCAAAATCGTTGATTGTCATGTGTTTTTTCAATGTTTTTGGTTTCTCGCGCTTTCGAGCTTCCAATGGTCCAAGAGCGCCGAAGAAGCTCCCAAGACCGCCCCAAGACCACCCAAAAGACCCTCAGGACGGCAAAAAGACAAGGCTCCAAGACTGCCGAAGAGGCGCCCAGGCCCAGGGCAGCCCCAGACCACCCCAGAACAGGGGGCCCACGAGCGGGAGCAGGAGGCTTCCAGAGACCTCCGAGAGGCCTTTGGGACCCCCCAGAGGCCCCCAACACACCTCCGATCCTTGAGAGGCCCCAAAAAGACCCCGACGAGGCTCCGAGAACAGACCAAGAGAGCTGCGAGAGCCGTCCCGAGAGAGCCCAACAAGGGTCAAATCGTTGATTTCCATTGTTTTTCTATTGTTTTTCGCCTGTTCACGTTTTCCCGCATCCAACCCTCGAAGATCGATGATTTTTTTCGGGAAAAAAAGAGTTCCCATAATTCCTTTTGTTTCAAAGTGGGACTCCGACTCGGAGATCCCACACATCCCCTGACATCTGGCCGGTACCGCGCCTCTCGGCTTCCCGGGGGGCCCCCAAGACGCCCAAGGACAGCCCAAGACGACCCCAAGGAGCCCCCAGAACGTAAAGAACGGCCCAACAAGCTCCCGCGCAGCCCGAGACACCCTTCCGACGGTTCTCCAGGCCTCCAGGAGGCCTCCAGAACCCCCAGGGGGTCAGGAAGATCCCACACCCCTGAGGGGCCCGGCTAACAAAACCCGCGAGGCACAAAAAACAACGCCGACCAGCGCCGAGGAACTGGAAAAACATGGGAATCCCACAATTCCTTATTTTTGTTCAAGTTTGGCCCCCAGTCTACTCTTGCGCAACAGACCACAATTCAGACCCCCTCACATCCCAAAAAAACAGGAAGCTTTCGAGGGCCCCAAATCGTTGAATACCTAAAGGGGATTAATGATTTCTGCGTTTCCGCACTTCCCCTTCTATACGATCCCGAGGCTTGCGCAGGGCCTCCAAGGGAGTCCTTGGACGCAAGAAGCGACCAACATGAGATTACATGAGTTGGCCGATCAAGCATAGCCAGAACTTGAGCGCGCGCGAAGCGCGCGCGATGGTTCCAGTAACATAAATGAAGAACTGCGCGAGTTCTTGAAACTGGCAGGAGTCCAGCGCGCACGACAGCTCGACGAGGTGGAGTTGCCGCAACGCTTTGGCGACATACGCACCACCCCCAAACAAGTGACGAGCCCACCTCGCCGCCACCAGGCAAACCACAGCAAGTGGCCCGAGTCGCGTCCTGAGGCTGGGCGGCGCCACCTGACAGGGACCAGGGCAGTCTCCAGAACGCCTGACCTGCCGAAGAAGTTGTCCCTGTCGGTGCCGACCTCGTCATACCGGTCCAGCTACTCCTGATCGATCGCATCGAGGGCGCAGTCCCGTGCGGCAGCCAGCTGCTCCACGGAACTGACTGCTCGGACCTTGGCCATCGGCTCGGCCCAGTCCCGACGCCGCGGGCGCACCCCACCGGAGGCACAGCAGGAGTTGGCCGCGGAGCTAGCGGCGCTCTGACCCGCTAGTCCAGGTCCTTGGCGCCGCCACGGGGAGGAGCACTGGCAGGTGAGGCGCCGTGGTGACCGCCTCGTGCACCTGCGGCTCGCGAGTCCTGGTGGCCAGGCTGGACGCGACGAGGAAGAAGTCCACGACCGAGGCGCCCTCCACCGAAGCCCGGCAGGTACTATAGCCCGAGGGGCCGCCCACAGGCCACTGGCGCCGTGGATCCAATACGCGGGGATCTGCTCAACCGTCATGCTGAAGCCCCTGCCCACGACCCAGTCGTAACCAGCGGTTGCCAGCCGCGCCAGGCATCGAATCATGGTCTGCATGATGGCTGGGTTCTGCTCATTTATGCCCACGCTGTTGACCAGGTATACCGACGGCATGACGAGCCCGCTTCCGTTGCCCCAGTGGACATGGGCGGCTGACAAGCGGCCCTCGACGAGGAGGGGCGTCGCCAAGAAAGGCGGGGCCGTGACCATGATCGACGTTTTGGCCATCACGGCTACCCCGCCAAACTCTCGGCAGCCACGAGGCTCGGCACAGCAGGCGCTCAGCTGCAAGCATGCCCGTAGTCCAGCAGTTCGGCTTGCACGCTGGCCAGCTTCGCGTCGTCGCGAATGCGGTTCTCTTGGAGCAGGATGACACGGCCCCGTAGCAGCGCCGCCGCCCTTGGGCTGGCTCGTCAGCGTCTCGAGGCTCTGGGTGATCGAACCCCAGAACGTAACGTTCATAGTCGTGATGGTGCCTTTCGTCATGATGACAGAGCCGCTGACCAGACAGGCCCCCTCTTCAACAGGGTGAGGAGCCACGCTGGGCGAGAGCGCAGCTGCTCGCGCCCGCGCCTTCTCCTCGCCATCGTCGGGGAGGTGATGGGCCTCCGTGACACCCTGCAGCTCCTCGCAGGAGGCCGTGGCAGGGCCCCACTGGGCCGGCCGGCCACCGCTATCCTTGCCGCCTCCGCCTTCCTCTGCAGCCCCCCTCCGCGGCCGCGTTGGCAGCGCCGGCGACGGGAGCGCCGGGAGCGGCAGCAGCAGCAGCCTCAGCCACCCGAGCATGCCTGCGCGCGACCGGCTCGGAGACGTGCCCGCCGAGGGCGGCCCCGCCGTGCGCTGCTGCCGCCCGCCGTCGGGGCGGGCAAAGCGGCTGCTTGCCGACGACCTCGGCGAGCCCGCCGCGATGGTGAGCCCCAGGGCAGCCACGGTGTCGTCGCCAGGATGGAGCTTGACGCGCACCTCCCTCACCGCCTCCGCCTCCTCCTCCTCCTCCTCCTCCTCCTCCTTCTCCTCCTCCTCCTCCTCCTCCTCCTCCTCCTCCTCCTTGCTCCTTGCTCCTCGAGCAGCTGCAGGTCCGCCCGCGGCGCCCGACCTCGGCCAATCGAGGCCTCGCCGCCCCCCCCCCTCGTCGAGGTCCGTGGAGGCCGCGGCGGCACCCTTCTCGGCGCCGACGTCCTGGTGGCCGCGCTTGAGCCTCGCGCTCGTCTCCCTGCGAGCCGCGGCGAGCTGCAGCCAGGCGGGCTTGTCTCCCTCTGTCGCGGCCAGCTGCAGCCAGGCGGGCTTGTCTCCCTCTGTTCGGGGGAGCGTAAGACCCGGGTTTGCCGGGACTCGGGTTCGCCATCGTTTTTTGACGACCGCGCCTCGGATTTTGACGAGGAGGAGTCTCGTGGGATGTTTGCAGCGGGAGGCCTCGTCAAAATGCAGGCTCGGCCTCGTCACTTTTTTGACGACCTCGTCGGGGATT